ATGTGCCACCAGGAAACCAAAGGAACTGAAAGACCAGTAATGCTGCCATCCCTAGTCTACAATAAATGGGTCAATTTATTACCACAGCAAAAAGGAAGTCAATAAGAACAATAAATTGGATGGCATAGAACTAGAAGTATCAAAGGCCTTCTTTGGTGATTGAACAAAGTCATGTCTTCCCAGCTGTGGTTTATTTTACAGCCCCCCTCTTTTATTATATGTGCTATGTATGTTTGCTGTAGAAAAATGCTCTTGTACACTGTAAATATTTGTCACTTGTATTGGTTTAAAAAAAATGTTGATTGGCCAATAGCCAGGGAGGAAGTACTGGCGGGGCAACCAGACTAGGGGAATTCTGGGAAGGGGAAAGGCAGAGATGCAGCCAGATGCAGAGGAAACAAAGTGAGAATGCCTTACTGAGAAAAAGTACCAAGCCATGATGCTAAACATAGATAAGAATTAGGGGTTCTTTTAAGTTGTAAGAGCTAGTTAATAATAAACCTGAGCTAATAGGTCAAACAGTTTATAATTAATATAAACCTCTGTGTGTTTATTTGGGACTTGCATCTACATATGTCTAATACTTATTTCAGAGTCTGACCACTTCTGTTGTCCTCATCCCATTACCAAATACTAGAGACGGTGTGATGCTAAGAACTGATGTGGATAAAAGAAAAGTTTATTCTAAGGTGAGACTCTGAAAAAGAAAAGCTGTATTGGATATCTAAACATGTTAGAAGAAAAGGTCAGTCAACTTCATAGAATTATAAAATGGAGTCCTGAGAGTCAACACATCGACCTTGAATCAGTACTGATACTGTAATCAGCTATGTTCAAATAGCATCAAATGCATCTGCATGAAGGAGCACAAGCTCTGCCAACAGTTTCACAACTGGCCACTTATTACGAGCACTAACCTTTCCGAACCTTGCTTTCCAAGTCTCTCAAATGAAATATCTATCCCCAAGGTTTTCTTATGTTGACCAACTGAGTCTAGCCCACGGTCATTTAATCATTCATTAAAGTGATTTTTCTCTATGCTCCCACTGTAAGCCAGAAACCAACCAGGTCATAAAACAGACAGACAAAAATCTCCCCTTACCTTCTCTGGTTTATTTACTTGACCTTGTCCTAGGTACCACATTGGTGGTGAATAAGAAAGCTCTAACATGTGATGAAAATAGCCAATTCAAAATTTAAAGATCAAAGAAAGGCAATCACACAGTGTGTGAATTTAGGCAAACATTAAAAAAAAAATCACTGTATGAGGTTCGAGGATGGAAAGAGAGAAGAAAGGCTTCCCAGAAATGAGTATTTTAAGTGAGCCTTGACAGCAGCTTAGAACCCTGTCGGGAGGGAGCTCCAGACTTTGAAAAGGCAATGCCATAACGGGAGGGAGGTTGGAAACATTTTGGTGACTCTGAGCAGTTCTATCCAGCTGGAGTCTCCAGTACATGTTAAGGAGGGATGGGCCTTGAAAACATGAAGACCGGTGAATTTTAAGTGTTGGGACAAAAATTTAGATTTTCTCACAAGAAGTGTGAGAGACACTAGAATGAGACACAAGGAAAGGAATTCCCTAAGAAAATGGGGCAATGAGCTTCACATTAGTTTTCCAATGAGGACCAATGAAAGGGAACACTTCCCAAGGCATCTCTCAGGATTCCTTATGACGAGAACAGTATGTGTCTGGCAAGAAGAGTATCTCAACTCACTGTGAGCCATACCACCCTTTCCATGAGTGGCCCTATGAGTTCTGCACTGTCTGCTCGCCTGTCTTCTGCCTATTACCATTACTATATCCGTACAATGCCAATATGTCATTCCCGCATCCCTTTCCTTGACTCATTCATATTGACCAGGACCAAATGAAGCTGGCAAACCCATACGTGTCCAACTGGGCATTGGGACTACCATACTCCCTCACAGTCTGGCTCAGGAGAAACAAGTCTGGTGTGGGAAGTCCGTTTGTATATGTGTTGCTTTTATTGGCTCATGAATAAAGAAGCTGCGTTCGGCCAATGGCTTAATAGAATATAGCCAGGCTGGAATATATATGAGAAAGTAGTTAGAGTTTCAAGGAGAAGCCATGTAGCCCCATTGGAGACAGATGCTGAATGCCAAACGAAACTTTACCTGTTAAGTTACAGCCACATGGTGATACAGAGATTAATAGAAATGGGTTAACCAAAGATATAAGAGCTAGCTAGCAATACACTTAAGTGATTGGCCAAGCAGTGGTTTAAATAATACAGTTTCTGAGTGTTTATTTTGGGTCTGGGCAGCCAAAAACAAACAAGCGGCCTCCTGCAACACAAATGCCTTTTTAGCACCATGATCGCAGATCTCCGAGTCTCTTGAATGTTAAGAAGTGAATCTCTGTGCTTTTCTTTAAACAAACAAACTATGCAGTCTATACTAATTTGCTATAGCAACCTATAAGACAGTGGTAGATTTAAAACCCATAAAAATGATCTTCAGTGAAAAGTAGATGTAGGGCTGGAGAACTAGCTCAGTGTTTAAGAGTGTTTTTTGCTCTTATAGAGGACCTGGGTTCAAATCCTAGGACCCTCATGGTGGCGCACAACCATAACTCCAGTCCCAGAGGATCTGAGGACCTCTTCTGGCCCCAGACAAGCACATGGTTCAGATGCCTACATACAGGTAAAACACTCATTCATATGAAATAATAAAATAAATAAATCTGAATAAAGTAGACATAAATGGACAGCTCATAAAGAAAAGAATTGGAATTTCTAAGTTTGGGGATGTGTATAAACATCCCAATAATTTAAAATAATTTCATCATAGTGATAAATCTCCGTGTTTGCACACAACTGGGGAAAACAAGTCGAAACAAGTGATATGGAAGGATGTCCTTGACAGGGAAAATGTAAACAGTTGCGAAATGGTATCTTACTTCTAGAATTAAAAAAAAAAAAACTATACAAAAACTAATGTATCAATGAGAAATATTCCAAATGTCAGTAGCTCTTATGTTAGAGAGATTATAGGTGATGATATCACAGATTTGATTTCACGGCATTAATTTGTACTTTCCAGATTAGTAAATAGATCTTAGTTGTCAGGAAAAACACAATCACTCTCTTAATAAGAGCAATTTGTCTGAGAATGTAGACCATGTAGGTGGTATCTCAGCTCACTTTGCAGAGTTCCCACAGCCCCCCTTATTATAGACAGCACAGGCTAAGCATCGCCATTTCTGAGCTAGACTGGGTGCTGACTGTGTGGGGATCCAGGGAAGCTACTCCGGACTGTATCTGTTAACCATGTGTGGTGACTGTGTCCAGCACAAGGTTCCCGAGGTAGGAACTTTCCTCACTTAAGCACTGATGTCCTCATTGATGCATTCTTCATGCCCCCCCCCATGATGTTGCTTGTGGTATTTTAAAAATGTATTAAAAAATGTCATGGGAGAGGATTTCCACCTTACTTAAACAGTAGGTCAAACATGGAATGAAGGCTTTAATGTGTGACCATTGTTTTAAATTCTTTAAAAATTGATACTAGAATTAAGGCTGCCCAACAGAGTCATCAATCCTGTAATAAGTGATAGCCAAATCCTAAGCGTTTTCCTTCCATTAACTGAAAATAAATAACATCCTGTAACATTTTTGTTACAGGAAGGTCAAACATTCCCCCACATCCTGTTTCAGATTGCTGAATTTTCCATTTTTCCCCACACCACACATGTTAGGTTAAATAAATTGATGGTTGAAAAGTTCTCTTTCTCTATTAACCTCTTTCAACAGTTTGATCTCATTCTGATACATACAAGCTATTAGGACAGAGCTCCATAAGATACATCTGAATGAGAATAAAAATCTGTAAGAATTCCTTATTACCTTCGAGGCTGGACTGCAGTTGGGGCTTATGCAGGACAATGAACTAACCATTCTGCTACAAAGCTCATGAGCCTCATTTTCACTCTGAAGAAAGCAAGAGGGCTTTTTTGTTGTTTCGTTTTTTAAAAGCACGGCCTAGCAAACTTTAAACGTGGATACAGAAACACTGGCCAGAAGGAGCCCCTATCTTCCTTTGAACATCTTTCAAGATCGGCTGGAGTTAGACAGAGGTTTGCTTTGAGCCAATAGAATTGTCTTCTTCCATGCGAACAGCTGCAACAGCTGTCTTGAAACAAAGCCAAGAGGAATTTTAGTAGTCCTATTTTAAATACCCTACTGAGCATACTTTTTTTTTTTTTTTTTTTTTTTTTCCGAGACAGGGTTTCTCTGTGGTTTTGGAGCCTGTCCTGGAACTAGCTCTTGTAGACCAGGCTGGTCTCGAACTCACAGAGATCCGCCTGCCTCTGCCTCCCGAGTGCTGGGATTAAAGGCGAGCACCACCACCTCCCGGCCATACTTTGAATATATTTATTCTAAAGACACATAGTCCCAAATCGACCTTCTGATTTCCCAGATTGGAGGAATGCATCGACTAGCCCACATCTTTCCCTACTTACGAGCGGTGAAATAAAACAAGTTTTATGATTTCAGATAAAGCGTGCCCCCCAAGAACAACCAAGTTCTTCAAAGTGGGAGTACGCAGGAAAGAATGCGGACATCCTTTTTTTTTTTTTCAGCATTCCGTTCAAAACAGTTTCACAACAAGTTCCAACACAAACACACAAATACCTTTTCCTCCCTAGGGATCAACCCGCGGTTTATTCGCTGGAAGAAAGCACCAACAGTTTCATTTACCAGGGGGAGGCGTGCAGACAGTCAAAGCTACCTTAAACTACTGGATTTCGAAACGAAAAGACCAACGTTTGTGCAAGCCTGTGTGAAGGCGCAAGTGCGTGCAGTTCATCTTTTACAAAAGAGGTAGGAATCAAATAACTGAAATGGTGTGATCGCTTCTCCATTTTCAAGTCCCGTCCCGCACCAGAAGTGGCAGAAAGGCTGTCACTAGCCCGAGGCACAGCTGGGCTGAGAGTGAGCAGAGGCCGGGCGGGGGCGGCTCAGCCGCGACTCACTTACCTGTCCCTCCCTGGGCGCTCATCACAGCATGGTCACCACGGATCCCAAGGTGCCAGAAGGGAACCGAGCTGGGATCCAAAGGGCGGGGTGAGTTATGCTCCCGAGCCAGCCATTCGTCTTCGCGAAGCAGAACAAAACCGATTTCTCGGCTGCCCAACTCCGCGTGAGGAGCGCGGGCGCCAGGAGCCGGCGGAGCAGGAGTCTCTGCCTCCTCCAGGCCTCCCGGGCTCCCGACCGACCGAGCTTCCGCGGAACGCCAATCTCCCGCGGTCCCGCCCCCGTGACGCAAGGGGCGGGGCCTGGCAGCGGTGGCGCTCCTGGCTCCAGCTGTGTGACCCAGCAGAGGCCGCACCCCGCCCAGATGTCCCAGTGACCCACTCTGATGGTCACACTCACCGCAGTTTGCAGGCTGTCCGGCGAGTTTTTACATTACTGTGATTTGGGCTGGACAATGCTCTCATTTACCGAAACTTGAAACACCTAGCGGTTCTGTTTTGGAGGGTAAAGACATTAAAATCTAAAAGTGTAGTGTTAAAGTTGTGTGACTAACAATTATTTTATTAAAAAATTACACACACATAGAGTTCTGATTTGGGCTTCTTTCCCTTTCTCTTTCTTTTTCCCTTCTACTCCTCTACTCAGGATAATATGGTCTTATATCTGCCAGGGTCTGTCTGCTTTAAGATCAAACATTCTTCTTTTTTCTTCTTCCTATGCTTTTCGTTTCTTCAATTTTAGTCTCCAATTAAAAATAAGAACCCATCAAACTGTTCTCTCAAAATGTTTGCCCCAAGACGGCAAGAGGGTTCGTCGACCATGCTCCGGGGCAGGTCCCACTCTAAGAAAAGTAGGAAGGCACAAACTGGAACTGGGGATTCGAAAAGTTGGCTGAGCTTGAAAAGGGTGGGTTTGGAGGTGTAGGGGAAGGGAGGGGAGTGATAAACCGGGCGGTGGTGGCGCACGCCTTTAATCCCAGCCCTCGGGAGGCAGAGGCAGGCGGATCTCTGTGAGTTCGAGGCCAGCCTGGTCTACAGAGGGAGTTCCAGGACAGTCTCCAAAAGCCACAGAGAAACCCTGTCTCGAAAAACCAAATAAACAAATAAACAAACAAATAAATAAATAAATAAATAAATAAATAAAATAAAGAAGCAGAATATTCAAAATAACTCAAAACAAAACCCAAATTCATTGTTACTCCACTGTAACAATGTAAGAAGCGGATTGAACTCCTCGGCTCTGCTGCAACCATGTGAGTCTGGCTCCAGTCTCTCAAGTGCTTCTTGAACGCGCATCAAAAGCGAGAGAACTAATTGATCAAGCTAGGGCCTCTCACCAGGACAAAGCAAGGGAGCTGGCTGGGGCGGCTCGACAGCCATCCCAAACCGAGAAGCCAAACGAGTTTTTGCACCCTCCTGGGAGGTGCCAGTCTGGAAAGAGGAAGGTCTGGGTGTGGCTTCCTGTGGAGCCTCCATCTGCAGGCAAGGGCAAATCTCCAGGATTTAGTCAACTCCGGGCTTCTGAAGCTCCTGGCCTTACTAAGTCTTTTGCAGGCATATTACTATTTCTGACAGGATGACTGGATTGTTTTGTCATTTGTTGTTGTTGTTGTTGTTCTGTTTAAATTCTTGTTAGTTAATTGTCTGGTAACATTTAAAACTTCAGCTTTGCCTCCCCGCCTTTCCTGCACCACCTCCCCCACCCCCCACCCCACTCCCAACCCCCGGCAGGGATGTAGCAGAGAGGCCTTTTGGGGAAGGTGCATACCAGGACAGCTCTGGCATACTGCGGCATTTGCAACCTGTTTGGAAATGTTTGAGTGGTTCTAACCAGCTACACACCAGAGCTGCAGAGAGAGCTGGAAGTCAAGGCCCCACCCAGGCCGAGTGAACCAGAACCCGTGGGGGCGGGGCTCTTGCAGTCCAGGCTTTTTGTCAGAGCATTCTAATTCACGTCCAAGATTGAGAATCATCCTTACGATGTGAATTAATATCTTAAAGAAAACATCCACATTGCATTCCTAAGTTCAAAGATGCAGTTCCTGAATAATGGGAAACTGTAATATAACTTATCTGGTATGTTCTTCATATGTTTGTATATTTCAATATAAGTCCAAAAAATAGACTGCAAAATCCACTTCAGAACTGCTCACTCGGGAAAGAGAGAGGAGAGAGGACATGAGATCAGTAGCTTTTCGTTTGTGTCCGTGTCATGCCACCCAAATGAAGGAATTGGTTTCCCTTCTGTGGTTTAAATATGTGGGATCAAAAGTATAAAATTAATATTTACAAATAGTGGTTATTGCAAACAGCCACTGTTCATGTTGATAGGTTGCACTGTGTCTCATGATCAGGATTAGAAGGGACTTGATTGCTACTATTATTTCTTAAAAGCTTTTCTGAGCATTTGTATCTTTTTACCTGATGTTTTTCATTTTTAAAAAATATGTAAAGTTCTTAACTTACTCATTTAAATGTGCCAACCAATGCAGCTACCACTGAAATAACGTTTACTTTCTTATGTTTCAAATAACATATTCCATTTTAGTGTGTTTCTCAAGAGGACTTGAAAAACTCGTGTTCACAGTATATAACACAGATTAAAGAAAATTCCATCTTTCCCTCATGGGAAATTATTTAACCTCTCAATGCTAGTAGTTTGATAATAAATTGTTGATGGAAAATACAGGGCATGAGAGTTTGCTGTCTAAGTCTGATCTGAATCTAAATCTTAGTTAGGAAAAGCCTTTAGCATATGAGCACGGAGCACCGTCAGTAAGCCGATCCAGTGAGTGTTTTATGGCTATATAAAGTCAGGTAGCCAGCGTGCTTATCACTAAGTAAAGACATAACAGCTGCTTTGAAATGACAGCCATCAATTTACTGGTTGTGTTGTCTCACATTTCCTTGGGCATGCTCAAGATTTAATACAGCATCAGTTGACTAAGAATAATCAGAAAATATTTTTGTAAAACTATAAACATGTTTCTTCACGTGGTTAGTAAGATACTTCTTGTCCATGTTTGTGTGAAAAAGTTTTTTTTTTCTTCTTTTGGTCTATCATTTAAGGTAAGCATGTTTTGATTTCCTTCAAAGTGCTTTGCACAGACTGCAGAAGGGCTGATTTTCCATATCGATGATGAAGCACTTTTCTTGCTCTGAACTTGTCAAGAGGGCATGACTCATGCACAGACTGGAACAATTCCCAATTCCAGATCTAAGTAGCTTTCGGAAGTGGGGGAGGAAGAGCTCTGGTTTTAATAAGCCATATGTAAGGCTTATTTATTAAGTATGTTATATTGTATTTCCTAATTGTATTTAGTATTCCGTCACAGGAATTTTTTCCTTCTTCGTTTTTCACCTTTGCTATCTTCTGAGTGCTCCTGGACTACTCTCCCGGGTCACACATAGTTCTCAGCAGTCTCTCACTTATTTGATAAAATACTCTCTGCAGTACTCTGAGGTCATTCTTCATTCAGAGATGAGAGATCCAGGGCAGGAGATGCAGCAAAGCGCCCACGACTGTTAGCAGAAGCCCTAGAATCATGGCTCGCTCTCTTACATTTTCAGCTTGTGGATACAGAACTCTCAGACCTGACTTGAGTCGTTTGGAGAGACTGACAGAGCATTGCACCTGTGCAGAACCCAAAGGCAGAGAACGAAGCCTTTCCTAACTAGATCAGATCTAAGTGGTGCCATTAGAACTATTTTAAAATACTACCTCACCCAGTCCGAATGGTTAATATCAAGAATCTGAACGTGGGGTGCTAGAGAAACTCAGTGGTTAAGAGCACTGACAGCTCAGTTCCCAGAACCCACATAGCAGCTACCAACTGTCTGTGACTCCAAGATCTGACACTCTCACACAAACATACATGCAGGGATGATGTGGGAGTGTCATATATCAATCTGTTGATTTCATTGGTTAAGTTATAATAAACCAACTGCTTGTCCTCAGCTTAGAACATAGATGGGAGGAGTAAACAGAATAGAATTCTGGGCTGAAGAGGAAGTGAGGTCAGACTCTGCTCTGCTCCCGGAGAGACTCTGCTCTCCGGAACACAGACGCCATGCTCAGCTCTCCCGGGTAGACGCCATAGCTCTGCTCTCTGAGGCACACGTGATGAAGATGGATGTAGGCTAGAATTTTCCCGGTAAGCGCACCTTGGGGTGCTTACACACATTATTAGAAATGGGCTAGTCCAGGTGCTAGAATTAGCCTGTAAGGGCTAGAGTTCATGGGCCAAGCAGTTCTTTAAATGAATACAGTTTGTGTGTTGTTATTTCGGGCATGAGCTAGCCAAGCGGCCGGGGTGTTGGGGATGCAGCCCTGCCGCTCCTATTTCAACACAGGCAAAACACCAATGTACATAAAATAAAAATAAATTATTAAAAAAAGAGATCTGAAACTAACATGAAAGAGTATGTGAAAAGAAAGGAACTCTTGATCACTGGTGGTGGGGGGCACAAATGAACACAACCATTGTGGAGAACAGTTTGGAAATTTATCAAAAATTTTAAAAATAGAACAAGCATATGTCCCACCTATTTCTTCCCTGAATATATACCCAAAGAATACCATTCCTATCACAGAAATATTTTCATAACCCATGTTAATTGCTGCATTATTCGTTATGGCAAAGAACTGAAATCAACATAGTTGTCCATCAACAGATGAATGAATAATGAAAATTGCATCTCGCTCTGTGCGTGTATGTGTGTGTGTGTGTGTGTGTGTGTGTGTGTGAGAGAGAGAGAGAGAGAGAGAGAGAGAGAGAGAGAGAGAGAGAGAGAGAACTACTCAGTGCTAAAGAAAGAATGGAATAACATTTTTTGGAAAATGTATGGATTTATAATGTATAATATTATGCAAGACTACATAAGAAAAAGGCATGCTCTTGCTCCTATGCTGTATCTAGCCAGTAATACGTTCATGCATGTAAACAAATGTAAATGTAGGTATAGTATAACATGTAGAGAAAAAGAACAAGACAAGCTAAGTATTATGGGATGAAGAGGAGTAGATGCAGGTAATAACGATGAGTTCTGAGAGATGATATAAAGATAATTGAAGTTCTAACTGTCTCATGGATTTTTTCACTTTTTATGGTGGAGAAGTGTATAAAAATATTTTTGATAGTCAAAGTGTAAAATACAATGTGAATATCTACAGCGTTTATCCTGA